GGTCGAACTGTCACCTACTTTCTCCAAACGTTACTACCTTAACCACTTCTGTTCCCTTTCAGCTGAATTAAAGCCACCCTACATGGAGTCGGGAAACAGCATGTCCGCTCTCTATCAGATCGCCCTTCACCCTCCGCCAAAACTTCGTCCTGCGAATTGGACGCCTCAGTTCCACCAATTTGTCGACTTTCTTCTCCAGAAAAAGGCAAGTACCCATGCATTCTTAAATTGACGCCTTTTCTATATGTACACGGTCGGCCAAACTGTGCCCCCCCCTTCCACCGTCATTCGCCATCAAATTCGAGCGGAGTTTGCCTACTTATCGTCCATTCTAGAAAATGTGCATCTTAACATTATAAGAGTGTTTTACGGATTTTTCCTCAAACGAATATAGTCAGTCATGTACAATGGAAGCGCCCGAAGCAGATGGTTAATACTGTAGTTTTAATTGACCACAGTAACCCTATTTAACACATGTTCAATTAAATTGCCAATTGATCTACAAAGTAGCTACCTTCGGAGAACTCCGACGGCGTCAGCGAGAATTGAGGTAGTTGGAGTTCCGAAAACTAGTTGGCCAGCGTACTTTTACTTTTTTTTTAAATTTTCCTCGGACCAACACATTTATGTGGTAATGGAGTCGAGTAAATATTGCTTAGAGAAGTTGATTCCTGTTTGTCTTAACACGCAAGCGAAGTTTGGGAAAATGAGAAAGAGGGTAAAAAGAGGCAGTGAAGATTATGATGAGTCAATGTCGGGGAGGGAGGATGGTCGCAGATGCAGTCAACCGACCTTTGAGTATGGTAAGCGCGAGGCTTTTACGAGGTTCTTCTGTGCGCACAAGACCGACTTTCGTACCCCGGGTGGTAGCTGTGCTTCTGCTATTGATACTGGCCCAGTGACTTGGAGTCGTGCGATTAAGCTTTATAAATCGCATGAAAAGCAGCTTTGTTATGGCTCACATGATGCCTGAAGTCAACAACACGCGCAAGAATGGCGCTGTTTATGCTCCTAACTTCGCATTTTTTAGCAATTATTGCGGAGGTGTTTTCGTATTCTCTTAGATAGGCACCAACTCGTGTGATCTCTGGACCCCAAGTACGAATTTTTCGTTGATGACTGGCTGATGACGGCAAATGCGGCAGAAATGGCCTTCACAGTATCCCTGGTCTTTGCCGGCAAGGCTCATCTGCCTACAATTTGTTCATATATTTCAACGGAGTTACCATGGCGATTGGAAGACAGCAACCGCGAAAAGACAGGGCATGTCCGTTAGCCTAGTTGATGGTTGTCCGGCGTGTCCACGGAGGCTGGATGATAGGACGGTTTTTAAGCGTGTAAGTAGTGAGTGTACCCAGGGCGCCACAATCCCCAACCCAAGCCCTGAGTACCAGAATAAGGCAGAGAAAGAAGCAAAACATCGCGAATCGTTGTCACAAGCCGCGATGACCACCGGCGAGGCCAGGGCGTGCGCTGAACAAGAGAGAGTGGGGGAGTTGAAAAATGGTGTCAGCTGCCCATACGGGCAGGCTCGAGTGTCCAAGTCGTCTATGTTGTGTTAGCGCCGAGGGGTAGCGCCTTCAAATGTGTTGTAACGGTAGCCAAAACCGACACAGAAGCTGATTGGCTCAATGGACCTAGCTTACCCTCGTTTGTTGCCCTAAATATGTTGTACCTTTTACATTTAAGGACGTCTGCTTTTGCCCACTTCTTGTCGTGCTCTTTCTTGGGGCTCACAAAACACATAATTAGGCAGTAACATCTCGGCTTTGGCTACCGTTAAGACAAAATGGAACGTAGAAGACTGATTAAATGCGCGAGCGTATGCGCATTTTGCAGTAAGAAGAAGAAGAATGCTATATTGAGGATTTTACAAACCTGAATTTTCA